GTATCCAAGGAGCAGCCGACAGGTGAAATCTGGCCTGTCTGGGAAATGAAATGATCATGGCCAGAGCCGCACCAAAGTAATAAGGCTTATTTTGCATGATCAGACGCAATTCATTAGGAGCAGGACAGGCTCTAAGACCCCTGAGGACTGAAGCCATGTGCGCCTGGCAGGTGTGAAAGTGATTTGGTGACACTGGTTTCTCTGTCATCATTTTCCCTGGTGTGATCATCACAACCCCAGGCTGGTCTCCAAATCTGCGGGGGCTGGTGTGAGCTACACAGTGTGAGAAGATCTAACGGGCGCTTCTGAACACCTGGATGGAAAGGTACTCCACTAGTTTCAGTCTGTCCATTCAGTTATTGACTGACATCAGATAAGTCCTAGGAGATACTTCCCAAACTAGTGAGGTCTTCTGGGAACATTAGAGACTGATTCCCAAAATATGGGTGCTATTGATGGTATTAAGGAGTTCTGGTAGCATAGTGTTATGAATCAGGAGGCTAACTTCAAGGTCAGCAGTTCAAAACTACCAGCTGTTCTGAGGGAGAAAGATGAGGCTTTCTGCTCCCATAAAGATTTACAGCCTCAGAAACCCAATACAGGGTCGCTATGAGTTGGAACCAACTCCATGGCACATAACCACCACCACCACCATCATTGTTGTTGGAGTCCTGGTGTGGTGCTTCAGGATAATGTACTAGACTGCAAGGTCAGTGGTTCAAAGTCAAGAACCGCTGCTTGGAAACCCTGCATGGGGTCACTATGAGTCAGAACCAATTAGATGGCACTTAACACCAACAGCTGCCATGGAGTCAGACCCAACTCTTCTGATCCTATTGTGTGACCCATAGGGTTTTCACGGACTGTATTTCAAAAGGAGATCTCCAGATGTTTTTTCCTAGCCCGTCTTAGTCTAGAAGCTCCACTGAATCCTATTCTGCATCACAGCAACAAATAAACCTCCATAGATGGATGGGTGGGGTGCAGTGGACAGGAATCAAGCCCAGGTCTCCCAAATTGTTGTTTTGTTTTGTTAACTGCCGTTGAGTTGATTCTGACTCATAGCAACCCTATATTGAGTTTTCAAGGAGAAGCTGGTGAGCTTGAATTGCTGACCTTGCGGTTCAAACCAGTCACAGCTTCACACCAGGATTCCAAGTCTCCCAAATAAAAGGTACAAATTCTACCACTGGTGGTACAGCTGTTGTTAAGTGCCACGGAGTCAATTCCAGTTCATAGCGACCCTATGCAGGGTTTCTGACGAGCAGCTGGTGGGTCTGAACTGTCGACCTTGTGGTTTTCAGTCCAGTAACCATCATACAGCGCCACACCAGGAGTCCTAGAGTCCTGCAAACACTCGCCAGAGGAAAGAGGATCCACAGGTCCAAAGGGCATTAAGAATTTTTCAGGGAAAACATCTCCCATGGCACCCAAAAGAGAAATAGCCACCACTTGCCACTTAAGTCTCTTTGCCCTTATTAAAAACCATTTGGTTAATTTTGTTGTACACATAAAGGTAATGTACGGGGATAACGTATAAAGCTATACTCGATGGAACAAAAATGGCAGGAAAATGTTCCAATTAGCAACACCAGGTCTTCCAGTTTTATTTCACTTAGTAATAAACCATTTCATTACGCTTGTTTAATTTGTGGAGTGACATTTCATCGTATAAATGAGCTCAGATCCTTTTTTTTTAATCATGAGAGTTATTCTTTTAACCAAAATAATAGTAGTAATAATGACTAAATAGGAAGTTTGGGACACTTGACTCCATCTTAACTCATCCTGCCTTTCTGTGACTAGAGAACCTTGTTGTTGTTGTTAGGTGCCATCGAGTCAGTACCGACCCATAGTGACCTCATGCACAGCAGAACGAAACACTGCCTGATCCTGGGCCAACCTCACTACTGTTGCCACACTTGAGTCCATCGATGCTGCCACTTGGCCAATCCATCTCGTTGGTGGGGGGTGGGAGGGTGGGGGGAGGTCTTCCTCTTTTGCTCTGACCCTCCACTTTACCAAACATATCCAAAGTAGGAGAGACGAAGCTTGGCCATCCTGGTCTCCAAGGAGCACTCTGGCTACACGTCTTCCAAAATGGATCTATTGGTTCTTTTGGCTTTCCATGGCATTTTCAATATTCTCCTTCAACACCATAGCTCAACATAATTGCTGTATGACCAAGTGCCGTTGTATCAGCAAAAACAATAAAATTGAGGGTGCCATGACAAAAGTTAACAGGCAATGTGCTGGCTCCACCAATGACAGAAGATGGCATATGAGCTTTCAATTTGCCTTTCACTTCCCCCCTGGTGTCACACACTCCAAACACACTGTCAACTTAAGACCAGTTACTAAAGACTCAGTTACTCTGAGTCAGTGCTCCTGGTCTGAATAAATTCACAAGGAGACTGAGATCGCCTTCATATACAGAAATACACTTGTGCATATGTAGAATAAGCAAAAAAAAAATCACACCTACCTGTCTGACTTATTGACAGCTGTTATAACAAAAATACAAATAGGTGACTTTAAAGAAGATAAATTTTTTCTATTAAATGTACTTATTTTAGATAAAAGTTTGAATTAGGGTCTCCTATGTATGTTTGGTTCCATTTCTTATAGACAACCCTTAAACAGAATCTGTCTTCGCCTGTGTGGTAGTCTAATCTTTATAACTCAGAAGTGATTAGGTGTAGAACCCACCCTGCTCCCATATGATCTAACTAACAAAGAAGCCCCTATTTCCAAACTCTCTTTCCAATCACAGAATTCTATCCATAGGTGTTAAAGCTAGAATTCTGCCTCATATTTGGAGGCAGGGAGTGTGGAGGGGAGGCCGAAATATCATGTTAATCCAGAACAGGATCCTTCTTAGGTGTTAGACAGGCAAGCTATTCTCAAATCCTTACTGGTGTCTTTCTGCAGTTTGAGAGGGTTTTTATTTATAAAGTGGTATTGTTGTTTTCATGTTAATTAAAAAATATGAATTTAGCATTCATTTCTGTCTGCTGGTATTTTATAAGAAAAATTTAAGCAGCATATTATGTAAAGTAGAAGACCTTACACCAATCGCACAGGTAACGCCCTACTGTCTTCCCAGAACCACCAGCCTTGTTTCAACTTTTTCCTCTGAAATTGTATGTGTTGCTCATCACAAATTGGTCATGTGGCCCTCTCAGCCCTGGTCGTTCTTGCCAATCTGGGAGGTGATTTCATTTCACCAAATTAAAGAGTTGTAAGAGGAAAGACAGAAATCACACTATTCTTTGCCCCTCCTGTTAAAGCATAGGGGGAGCCAACTTTCCCCCAACTTTAGAAAGGAGAACAAAATGTTTCATTGGCTTCTTAAGGCTAGCATAACAAAGTGCTACAAACGGAATGACCTAACACAACAGAACTGTATTCTCTCACAGTTCTGGAGGTGTCAGGGTGTCTAGAATCAAGGTGTCAGCAGGGCAAGGCTCTTCTAAAAGTTCAAGGGAAGATCTTTCTTGCTTCTTCCTAGCTTCTGGTGGTTCCCAGAAATCCTTGGTGCTTCTGGCCTTGAGCAGCATCATTCCAATTTCTTTGCCCATCTTCACATGACCATCTTGCCTCTGTGTCTTCTTGTGTCTTCTCTTCTTCTTATAAGGACACCAGCCATTGATTTAGGGCCCACCCCAATTCACCATACTCTGTAAAGTGTTGTATTGAATTTGGGTGGGTCCTAAATCAACTTGTAAACTCCTATTCCCAAGTGAAGTCACATACAAAAGTTCCAGGTAGGCATGAATTTGGGTGGAAACACTATTCGACCCACTATAGAATCATTATATATATTTGGAATTTTACAGGTGAAAAATGGAAAACAAGTCTATAACATCATTCCCTTTTGGCTGACAATAAAAAGCTGACAGGCAATTTAGAGCCTAAGCAGTAGATGAAAACCTTTGAAAGTTCTGCATTCTGCTCCCAAATTCATGCAGATCTGTATCTTAACTAAAAATTTAGTGCATTTCTAAAAGTGTATACAAAAGTCAAGTGAGTAAATTGAATGATGGCAAACTTACATGTTAAAGCCAAAAATATTATCTCCTTCCTATTGATATCTTGTTGTTAACCATAACCTACAGTGATGGATTCCTAGTATTTATACATTCTTTGTTCTTTTCAGACCAATTGAAAACAAATTAACCAGCTTCAATTTAATAACTTTCTCATTGAGGCTAAATATTTACCACTTTCATTCACTTAGGAGTTTCATCTTGGTCTCAAATGCTTTGATTTTAGACCTATGATTCTTTCCACTACTTTCAGTTCTTTTTTGCTTTTTACTAACTTTTTATGAAACAAGAAGAGGAAAATATGATTTGAAATTCGAACATCCTCTAGAGAGTACAAACACTACTATACAGAGAAAGACAGTGATGCAAAATGCAATTGTTTGTTGGCAGATGCTGCTGCAAGTCAATAGCCTGGCATAGACATCTATCAGAAAATTCATGAACTCACAAATTCAGTGTAGGAAGGAGGAATAGAGTGTGGACATACAATATAACTTCATTTCTCAGTGTGATTCTGTTTCCCTAGCAGTGATTTATATGAAAGATTTTAAAGGCCAAGTTGTAGATCTCAAAGTGTCGAATAAATAGTAATACAAGACTGCTGTACTTCCATTAACAGTGTGTGTTGGTCAAGATAGGTGAGGTTATGTGGCAGGAATAAACAAATCCTAAAATCTTAGGAGCATAAGGCAACAAAAGTTTATCACTCACTCCACATGTCCGCCAAACCTCAGTATGGCATTCTGCTCCAGGACTTTGGATGGTAAACCTAAGCCACATCCATTGCTGTCAAGTTGCGGCCCGATTATGATGACCCTGTGTGTTACAGGTAGTCTGATGTGGCATTATGGGTTAATGTGCTGGACTTCAAAGTCCGCTTGAACCGCAAGATCAGCGGTTCTATCCTTAAAACTTACTAAAACTTTTTGTGTGTGTTTTTTTCACTCACAGGAAACCTGATCCAGTCCCAGAAATGACCACTCCTGAGAAACTGTACTCAAAGCTCATGCAGACTCTGACGTATCTAAATTCTCATCTGTCCAATGGCAGCCATGTTGTTATCTACGGCTTAGCAAATGGAAGCTTTCTCTGGGATCATTTGTACAACAGATATCATCCTCTCGGTATCAGTTTGAAGATTATTTTACCCTTTCACAGCATTACTGTATGCAGAGTGTGATATATATATATATATATATATACAAATCGTATTTTTTTAAAAAAACACCTCAAATGTTATCCCCATTCCTGGATCAGACATGATGAACTTTAGGTACAATATCTAAAGGTCAGCTGCAAGGGTAGATAGAGTCAGGGCTAAAACCAGAAAGGGCAGAAGAATTAGGGCAAGTTTAAAGGTAAGAACTTAAATCAAGAAATCTCTTTAACGAAAGTAAAATCTAGGATGAGTTGATGAAAACCAACAGGAAAGAGATAGCCGTGAGATTAAAGGAAAGGATTTTTCCAATCCACAGAGGGAATAAAGGAAGTGCCCCCTGGTGGCCATTTAGGCTCTTGGCTCTGAAATGCCTTAAATATCCCCAGGGACGTCTAATGACATCTCTAGCATTCCAGATGCTTTAGAAATATTCTGAAAGTGGTGACAACTCACATTATACAGGACTGTCATGCTGATCCTTAAAGAAATTCTGTGAGATAGATATTTTAATTAATTTCAGATAAGTTACTGAATGTCCAGTTTAACCATTTGCTCTACCCAGAAATTCCTGAATGTTGCATAGCTCATTGAATATCTACTCTGAGTGTATCCAGGCTCTGTGTTGCTTTCTGTGTTTCAAGGGAGAGTTTCTTTTCAACCAAATAGTTATTGAGTGCCAACTGTATGGTGAGCACTCTTATGGGCATGGTATAACAGCAGTGAATAAAACAGTCATAAATCCTTGCCCACATAAGGCTCATAATCTAGTGGGAGGAAGACCCCAAAAGAATGTTAGGAGATGGTTATAGGAAGAAAATTAAGCAGGGAAGGGGTTAGGGAGTGCTGGCCTCAGTCTTCTGCGGAATCTCCATCATGAGAAACCTAGGTACTCTTCCTCAGCCCTTTATTGACGGCACTTGTGCCAGCCAAGCATGAAGAAGGTACTGCTCCATCTCTGCCATACCCACCAACTGACCTAAGCTAAAAGGTTCTGGAGGTTCAATCATTTTCTTTTAAGAATGAGGTGAGCAATTCAAGGGAAGAAGACCTGAAACTCAGTTCTTAGTACCCTCCTTTGGGAGTTGGAGCCAAATTCCATAGTCAAAACCATCAAAGAGTTGTCATTTACATATTTAACTTCTTTGAATCTTTTCTGTCTTCCCTTGTCCCACTCCTGCAGTCTCTATTTAAATCAAACCACCCACCCCTGCTTCTTCCCTCAGTAAACTCTATTCTTCTCCATACAAGAAAAGAGTGGGCCTCCTTAACCAGCTCTCTATGATCTCTGTTGTGGGGAAAATAGTGGACACCCAAATTCCCGTCTCCCAACCATGAAGCTAAAGTCATTTTCCTCTTGAGTAACTCAAGAGTACAATAAAAGCTATTGTTATTCAAACAAAACCGTCCCATTTCTCATGAAGAGAGAATATGCCTCTTGTTCATAGAACTTTGACCCCACTCCTTAGAAATGATAACACAATCTGGTGCAAATACTTATGCTTTCAACTGCTACCTGAAAAGTTGGGGTTCAAGTCCAACTAGAGGTACTTCAGAAGAAAACCCTAGCATTCTACTTCTGAAAGACCTTTGGACCCCTATGGAGTGCTTGGAAGCACATTGGGTTACTATGAGTCAGAACCAACTCAATAGTAACTGGTTCGTTTTTTGTCTTGCCTTTTAATGCAGTAATGACTCCGTGCCAATTTGGAAGAAGTGTGGGAAGGAGAAAGGGCAATTGAGGGACTCAACATCCACGTTTATGGGTCTGAACCAGGGCAATTTTTCCCACCCTTCCCACTACTCAGGGCAGCGTCCCTCACTCACCCATGACCAAGATTTATTCAGTCCAAAAGCTCAGTACTTCCAAGGTCGGAAACCCTGCTCTAGGCCTTGCCTCATCCTCTTCCTGCGGCCTCTTTCTAGCCACAATCAGCATCAGCATTTCAGAACCCAAGAGAAGAGCAGGAAGGTGGGGCAGGTTTGCTCTTTATAAACAGCCCTAGTTTTGGGGTGGGGCGGTGCAATTAGAAAGAAAGCTGGAACCATCTAAATTTTGTTTAATGATTTTGAGTTATTCTTCATAGCCTAAATTATCCCTACTGCCTGGTTGCCATGGGAAATAAATTATAAATTCCTCAGTGAGGTATCAGGGTTCTTCCTAGACAGACTGGGGGAGTAGGTGGAATTTGGTCAGCTTCTTAATTTCTCCTTTTGTGGCATCTCATAACTCACACAGGTGAGAAGCTTGGAGCGAGGGTACATTTTCTCCTCCAAGTGGTGCAGTGGGCTAAGCAGTGGACCGTTAACTGCATGGTCAGTGGTTCAAACCCATCAGTCATTTCACTGGAGAAAGATGAGGCTGTCTGCTCCCATAAAGATTTACAGTCTCAGAAACTCTAAGGAGCTGCTCTGCTCCGTCCTATAAGGTCACTTTCAGTCAGAACCAACTTGATGGCCGTGGGTTTAGTTTGAATGTTTTCAGGAGCAGACCCACCAAGACCTTCAGAACTACTCTGTGGGTTCGAACTGCCAACCTTTTGGTTACCAGTTGAGTACTTAACCATTGTTCCATAAGGTAGACGCAGGGCAGAGTACCATATAAGTAAGGTAAGCACAGGTTTAATTGTGCTCACCTATTAATCTGTAAAGAACAGTTTCACATGGGTTTCACCACAGCAAATGTGAAACTGTTCACTACAGATAAGTAAGTAATCACAAGTAAGCCCATGCTTATCTTGTCTACTGGGTCCTCCATCTCTATCAGAGATGGTAAATTTGAGAAGAAGCTTTGACTCTGTATGAAGATGCAGTGGGATTGTGAGAATGACAAATGTCAGTCCTACCTAGAAGCAGAAATTGTGGTGTGGTGAAAAAATGTGAAATGGTAAGGAAACACAAGTAAGCTCGTGCTTACCTTGCTTATTGGGTAATCTAATGCTGGGTAGATGTCACTTTAATCAATAGGCAGACCCATGAAGAGTTACAGTCTGCTGTCTCTTCTCCCTACAGTGGGACAGGTAGGAGCTGTATCTGATCATTCAGCTAGGAGATGGTTAAATGCTACAGCATCCAATGGTCAGAATAATAAATGTCCAGATGGAGAGTGGGCTCCTGACCCACTCCTGCATGTCTCCATGGCAGCCAGGTCTGAAATCACTAGCCAGTCAGTGACTAGCTACCACGTCCACCATCTCTTTATCAGTCACTAAAATTTCTGGTGAGAGTTTATTGTCTTGGTAAGTTGCATACAATAGGAATCGGCTTGCATAATCTTCTGGAAAAGGCCAAGCCTGACTAGTCACAAGTTCTCTCAGCCACAACCTATAAAAAACAAGCATAATCATTGCATAAATATGTCTGAGGCACTTAATATGTGCCTTGGGAGCAAAGATGATGACATTTAGATGGAATTCACCTCAAATGAGAGAGAAACGTCAGCTCCACTGGGAAAAAAATACCACAGAGATCCTGACAGTAAAACTACCAACAATGGCAGCAGTACAAACTATCAACATTCTGGGAATGTTCCGAAGGGTCAGACTATGTCTATGAAGTCAGGAATTGCTGCTTGCTGGCTTCAAATAAGCCTACAGGTAGCAATTCCTTTCAGGACCTCTGCCAAAAATGAACAACGACAACAACAACAACAACAAAAACTTAATTTTAAGTACCTTAGAATACCTTATGACTTATATTTTGTTACTGGCTTTCCCCAAGTCTGAATTAATGCAGTTTTACTAAAGTTTATTTCATTCATGGAGGTGTGACTGATCTTTATTGGTACTAGCTTTTATGGCGCCTAAAATTTCAATTATGTTCCAAGCAGTAAGTAAATATCAAAAATCCTGCCCTACTAAAGAACTTACAAATCACAGAGACACAGCTGCTACTACAGTCAGCTAGAGCAGAGCTTGTCCTTTAATCTTCAGAGGAAACATAAAGCCTTTGGCTCGCCCTGCGCAGAAACACAGCCCTTCTGGATTCCGGTAATATAGTTCCTCAGCCCCTGCTAACTTCTGGCCACTGTGGGACACTCCTTCGACCCCCACCTTAATTTGATCAACCTTCTGACCAGGAGTCCCACATACCCATCACATACTCTCTCATGGACAACAAGTAGCTAGGCTCTCCTTCTCTCGTAGGACTCCTCGATATCATGGAATGTCATCAAAGTGACAGGAACAGAAAGTCATGCCTACAAACAAAGAGCAAATGACCAACTGACCATAAAACAAACCAATAAACAAAACATGAGCACTCCCAAGCAGCTCTCACGTGGCCAGCCCCAGTCACCCACTCTCCAGATGGCAAAAATAGTAAAGAGAAGAGAAACCTGCCCATTACATCTTTCTAGTCACCTCCAGCTGTACTAGCATGCCTTTATCTTCTTGTGAAAGGACTTCCCCTTTAACAACACTGTCCAATTGGAGCCAGTGCCAGAACAGCACCAGGTAGAGAGCAGGGACCATAAAATGGGATGCCCCTGCAGAACAGAGAAGATCTCACTGTGTCACTGCGACTTTAATGGCGGTAATAAGCCTATGGTTTCCAACTGGGGATTCACTCACCCACACACAGAGATAATATATTTTTTCTCTATGACAAGAAAATTGAATCCATCTTTCAGCCTAACTGATCTGCGGTATAAGTGAAAAATAAGACTCTGTTCCATCACCTTCAATCTTTCTCTTCGCTTTGCGATAACTCCTATTATTTCCCCTTACTTTTTGTGAGCATGTTATAAGTGTTAATGGATAAGTGTCAAGTCACTCACCCCTGAGATTCAAGGAGCCTGTGTTTTGGGTCTCCACCACAGCAAGCAAGGTGACTTGCCTCTGGGAATGGGTGTGCTGGGAGGGGGCAGGGAGGCAGAAGGAGTTGGGGTACCTGTTCAACTATGAGAGAAGAAACAATCACCATATTGCCAGCAAGTCAACTGGCTTATGGCGGCCCATAGGTGTCAGAATAGAACTGTGCTTCACAGGATTTCCAATGGCTGTGTTGTTGGAAGTCTATTATCATGACTTTCTTTTCAGATACTTATGGGTAGGCTTGAACCCCCAACCTTTCAGCTAGCAACCAAGACCCCATTCAGGGTCTACGATTCGGGTCCATACTCTTTTCAATCAGGTCCCCGGGCCCACCCATACCAAGAGCTCTAGAGGGGGGTAAACTCCTTAGGGCTCCTTTCCAAGTGTGGGTCTTAATCACTAGGATTCTCAACAAGAAGGGAAACACACGAAGCTGAGCACCCAGATATTCATCACAAGCAACACCACACAAACAGTCAGGGCACGTCCTGATTGGCTGCTATAGCTGAGTGCACACTACATCCAAGACCTTTCTGTTTTCCAGGCCAGCTAAATAAAGACGTGACCTACGCACAGTTCTACGCCTTCCTGAGCTGCCTTCAGGTAAGCACACACCTTGATCTCTCCCAAGGCCACCCTTCCTCTGGCCCATCACAGTTCCTCTTTCATCAGCGTGTTTTCATGCTCTTAGGTCAACCCTTGTCATGGCTGGATGTCTGCTAACAAAACACTCCGGGATCTCACTTCAGAGGTACGACCTTCCCAGGCCTTGTGATGCCATCTTTGATCATTCTTGACCCATGTTTGCTGCAATACCATCTCCAAACTAGCAATGAACAAAATAAAAAATACCAGGTTGCTTGAGTGGCTGGGAGAATATATTTGCTCTCTCTGGATCTTTCTGTTGCTCTTACTGTTTCCCTCTGTGTTTCTTTCTTATACATATGTATGTGTGTACACACACAGAGTAGTATTGTGGATGTTGCTAATTATCGAAGTCTAATTATCCAAAAATCCAACTAATTGCTCTAGAGACAACTCTGATTCACAGCGACCCCATGTGTGTCAGAGTAGAACTGCGCTCCATAAGCTTTCCAACAGCTGATTTTTAGGAAGTACATCTCCAGAACTTTCTTTCAAAGCACTTCTGGTGGACTCAAACCATCAGCCTTTCAGTTAGTGTTGCTGTTGATGTTAGATGCCTTCAAGTGGATTTCAACATGTGGCAACATGTACAGGGTTCCCTGGGCTGAAAATTTTTGCAAGGCCATATCTTTCTCCCTTGTAACAGCTACTGGATTTCAACTGCTGGCCTTGTGATTAGAAGTCCAGTGCTTATCCTAAAACGCCGCCACCTTTTGTACCACCAAAGGAGGCCTATCTTTCTAATTACAAAAGAAACATTTCAATTAAAAAAAAAAAAATACCACAAAAGGCAATAATAAAAGCTACCCCAAATCCTATCATCCCGACTTGTATGTGTGCCTATTCTTCCAATATTATTTTTGTAAATAGATATTTTTATTATTTTCCTGAATGGTGTCAGTACACACATACCATTTTAAACCTTCTAATGTTAACAGATTGTTCCTCCACATGATAATTTTGTAATCGTTGGAAACACAATGTATGAAGCCACAATGATTTATTTCATCCCTGTGTGTTGGACATTTAGATTGTTTCCAATTTTTCACTATGATAAATAGCAGTGTGATGAACTTACTTATACATGTATCTTTGAGTACAACTCAATTCCTTAAGACAAATTTCTAGGAGTAAAATGACTGGGACAAAAGATTGATTCACTTTTAAGGACTGATTCATATTGCCAAACTGCTCTGCAGAAAGGCTAAACCAATCTATTTCTCATTCAACATTTCCGCACACAGATGGATCACCATAACCACTCATCGTCTTAGATCTCATGAGTGAAAACTGGACTCTTATTATATTAATTTGAACGTATTTGGTGTCTAATGAATTTTAGCATTTTGCATATGGTCATTGGCCATGTGTCCACAAGAATTCAATGGTCAGAGCAGCTGTCTGCTGATGGCTACTCGTTGTTGTATGCCATTAGTCAATGCTCTCTCATAACAACCCTGTAAGACAAAGTAGAACTGTCCCATAAGGTTTCCTAAACTGTGAGCTCTGGTAGCATAGTGGTTACGAATTGGACTGTGAACCTCAAGGTCAGCAGTTCAAAACTACCAGCCGTTCTGTGGGAGAAAGATGAGGATTTCTGCTCCCATAAAGATTTACAGCCTCGGAAACCCTGTACAGGGTCACTATGGGTCGGAACTGACTCGACAGCACTTAACAACAACAATCTTTACAAGAGTAGATGGCCAGGTGTTTTCTTCCAAGGAGACCTTTGAGTTAGCAGCTGAATGTTTAACCATAGAGTAATTGGGTGGAGTAGGGCAGGAAGGATAGATATCTTTGTTCTGCCTACATTGTCTTCACTGAAATCAAAGCCTACCTTTCATGAACTCCTCTTTTTTTCTCCTTGTATCCAGAGAGCAAAGCAACTCTCCAACACCCTGAGAAAAATTGCAACCTATGAGAAATTTACAAACTTCAATCTCTTCTACCTGGATTTTGACTTCCAAAAAAGTAAGTTTAGATTATTTTAGATATCATATTGACAGTGGACAAATACAGCAGCTACCTTTATGAGCTTGCCTCGGCAACACATTTATAAACCAGAAGACAATAGATTAGACTGGGTTATTCCTGGCCATTGCTACTCGGACACACCAGTAGCTCTGAATATTGGGGGGGGAAATGTAAGTGTGAAGCTCTTCTTAAGGGTGTAGGAGGCCCAGCAACCCCTGCTAATGGTACCATCACTTTAGAATTCCTGAAGCGCTAGAGCAAGCAACAAGTTAGGCTGAGAGTCAACAGGCTAATGGAATCACCTAACCTTTGCTTGCCAGTTTAGTAAATGCCCTTTTTACCTTAAGGATCCAATGTAGGTGTGACAAGGAAGAATAAGGCAGTGCCTCTCAAAGTGGATACTGAATTACTCAGGGCACTCAGGAACAATGCATATTCCCAGGTCCCCTAAAGATGAACCTAATCAAAATCTCTGAGTAGGGAGCTGAGACTCTCTCTGTGGCAAAATGGATTGCCCATATCCCGGCTTGCTGGGAAGAATATTACTCGGCTTTCTTTCTAGCCTTTTGTCCAAATAGTGTGGTCACTAATGCGTGACCATGAAAAACTAAACTGATTTACTGGAGCTACTGATATCCTGATGTATTTTTGACTCAACAAAAATTATTATTTATGGCCTTTAATCCTTCCAACTCATTTTTATTCCTAAGCACTTGTAATATAAAAGAGTAGCCCCCTGTTGATTGACTGCCAGCCGAGATGATGCTAATGAAAAGCTTCACAGCTTATGCGCCAGGATGGAAGATTTCTTATCCAGAGTTTATCATTTCCATTTTTCCATCATCACACACACACACACACATACACACATATCACCAGCCCAGGCATCTGGGATGGAGCAGATGGCCATCATGAATTATCAAATATTACATTAGCTGACACGTTTTGCATTGCATACACTAGTACCTCAATTCTGAACATGTTTTCAACAAGACTGATCTCCCTTAACTAGATTTCCTGCTTAGGTGATACTCATTTCTCTCATGGGGAGAGACATTTTGATAAATAACCTCTCATTAAAATGCAGAGTTTAAAACTCATTAATGAAGTCCTGGTGTAAACAAATGCACCACCAAGTGATCTTTGATCATCACCAACCTTGAACATAGATAAAATTATTAAAAATATAATCAGGTCTAACGTTCACATGGGACTTTTTTGTTTTCCAAAGTGATCTCTAGCTTTGTCGTGTGTTATCTGTAGGACTGTAAACAATTCCCTGAACCTATTTTAGTCTCCTTTGCAGACCTGGCTGGGGATACCAAAGTTACCTAGCAGATCTTTGTGATAATTATATAAAACAATGTGTGATCCTTCTAAATGCTCTATCTGGTACATAGCAGGTACCCAGTAAAGAGCACATGTCCTTCCACCCTTAGTACTCAATGTGGTTTGGGACCAATTAGAAATGCAGACTGTGATGCCTCACTACAGACCTTCCAATCCAAGTCTGAACTCTAATTCAGTCCCCAGTTAATTCATATCCCATCAATGTTTACAAAAAGGACTCTACTTTGCTCCAAAATTGAGAGGTCACTTAGTCAGTCATCAGACTCTATGTGCCAACAATTGTGTGGATCCTGAGACTATAAACCTGTTGTCTTTGAGCCGTTTCTAACACATGGTAAGTTCATGCATTGCAGAGTAGAACTTCTCCGTAGGATTTTCTTGGCTGTGATCTTAACAGAGGTAGATCGCCAGGAATTTCTTCCATGGTACCACTGAGTAGGTTCAAACCACCAAACTTCAGATTAATAGTCAAATGCAAGCCATTTGTGCCACCTAACAACCCACTGAGAATATGTTGTTGTTATTGCTGAGTGTCGTCAAGTTGGTTCCAACTCATAGCATCCCTGTGTAGGATTTCTGAGGAGCAGCTGGTGAGGTTGAACCTTTTTAAACACGAAGTTTGATTTGTTGTTGTTGGTTGCTATGGAGTCAGCTCAGACTCATGGTGACCTCGTGTATAACAAAGCAAAACATTGTCCAGTCCTGTGCCATCAACATTCTTACTACCTATCCACTGCCATAGAGTCGATTTCCACTCAGAGTGACCCCATATAGGATTTTTGAGATTGGAAACCTTTACGGGAGCAGAAAGCCTCATCTTTCTCCCTCAGAGCAGCTGGAGGGTTTGACAGGTTTGGGTTAGCAAGCCAGTGCTTATCCTACAGTGCCAAGGGAAAATCTCTCTTCCCATTTCTGTACTATCCATGAGTGATGATCACACCACAATTATCCTCATGTTTTCTTACTAAAATGTATCATTTCACATCCCAGTGACAAAGCAAATTGCAGGAGAATATCCGTGTCATTTGAGGGTAGATATTCAGCCTCTGGCAGCCTCAGTCCGGCACTGAACTACAATTGCTCATCTTCACAGACTGTTTTAGCCCTTGCTGACTCATTTACCAACTGGTTATAAACTAAACAGAGGTAACAATTTTTCCTCCCTTCAGGAAATGTCAACTGGAGCAGGTGACGTTCTTTTTCTTCCCCTGCACCACATCTCCCAGGCAGAGGATGGAAAATGTCACTTGGCCAACAGGGACATTTTTACATTGACATCTTAAATAAGCCACATCTGCCCCCAACTTTCAAGATAACTCATTTGGAGTAAGTCTGGTTCCCCTTCCCTTTATCTATGTTTATAAACACAGTCAGTGACTTCATGGTCCTGACCGAGGAACAGACTTTTTTTCTTTTTTTTTTTTTTTTAAGTAACCATTGCTGTTCATCAGAGTTACGAAGTGCTTATTAGTCATCTTCTACAAATTCTATTGCATCTCTGAAAAACTAGCTATTGGCACAGTCTTGTTAACTCTACAAATGGAGAAAATAAGTGATACATCAAATCTCAAAAGACTGCTCATGAGAATCCAGGGAACTTAATCTGGGTATTCTGAAGAACACCCAGCAACTCCTCTACCTATTTAAACTCAAAATTGTCCAACACTCATCTGTCAGTTTGTTGTACTGTGGTGACTTGTGTGTTGCTGTTATGCTGAAAGCTCTACCACTGGTATTTTACATATCATCGGGATCATCCACACTGGACAGGTGTCAGCTGACTAAGACAGATGAGGAAAGGGAGAGGCTAGTCACTTCTGAATGGTTAGCCACTGAAAACCTTATGAATTGCATCAAACATTATAAGATATAGTGCTGGAAAATGAGCTCTTAAAGTTGGAAGGCACTCAAAATATGGCTGGGGAAGAGTTGGCTCTTCAAATTAGATTTGACCATAATAGCATGAATGGCTTGAAGAATCTTCATTTGCTGATAGAACACAACTCAAAACAAAAATAATTGGCTGCAAACATTCATTAACAATCATAATGTGAATGTACAAATCGTGACTTTAGAAAATTGGAAGTTGTCAGAAATCAGATGGAACACATAAAGATCAATATCTGAGACATTTGTAAGCTGAAATGGACTGGCATGCACTATTTTGAATTTGACCATCATAGTTTACTATGCTGAGAACCAAAAATTGAAGAGGAATGGGCATATCATTCATAGTCAAGAGTATTTCAGGGTCTGTCTTGAAGTACCATGCTCTCTGTGATAGAACAATATCCATACACCTGCAAGAAAGACCCGTTATACCATTCTCATTGAAATTTACACACCAACCACTAAGGCCTCTGATAATGACATTGAAAAATTCTACCAAATTCTTCAGTTTGAAGTTGATCAAACATGCTATCAAAATGCATTGGTAATTACTGCTGATTGGAATGTGAAAGTTGGAAAGAAAGAGAAGGAGTAGTTAAAAAAAAAAAAATGACATGGGTTATAGAAACACAAGAGAATTTTGCAAGACCAAAGACTTATTCATTGCAAATATCTTTTTTCAACAACATAAAAGGGATCTACACATAGACCCTACTGAATGAAATACACAGGAACCAAATCTCCTACATCTGTGGGAAGAGACGATGGAGAAGCTGAATAACACCAGCCAGAACAAGGCCAGGGGCAGACTATAGAACAGACCATCAACTGCTCTTATACAAGTTCTGGCTGAAGTTGAAGAAAATTCAAACAAGTTCACAAGAGGCAAAATATGACCTGAAACATATCCCACCTGAATTTAGAGACAGTCTCAAGAACTGATTTTATACATTAGACAGTAATGACCAAAAACCAGAAGAGTTGTGGGATGACATCAAGAACTTCATTCATGAAGAAAACAAGAAGTCATTAAAAAGATAGGAAAGAAAGAAAAGATCAAAGTGAATGTCAGAAGATACTCTGAAACTTGCTCTTGAGCACAGAGGAGCTAAAGGAATGGGAAGAAATGAGGATGTAAAAGAGCTAACCTGAAAATTCCAAAAAGCATCTGAAAAAGATGAAGTCAAGTATTATAAAGAAATGTGCAGAGAGCTGGGGTTAGAAAACCAAAGGGGAAGAAAACACTCCAAATCTCTAGAACTGAAAGAACTGAAGAAAAAAATCCAAGTCTCAACTTTCAATATGGAAGGATTCTATGGCTAACATATTAAATGATGCAGAAAGAATCAAAGGAAAATAGAAGGACTATACAGAGTCATTGTACCAAAAAGAACTGATTGATGCTCAACCATTTCAAGAGGCAGCATATGATCAAGAACCAATAGTATTGAAAGAAGAAGTTCAAGTTGCACTGAGGGATTGGGAAAAAAATAAGGCACTAGGAATTGACGGAAAACCAATTGAAATGTTTCAACAAACTGATGCAGCACTGGAGGTGCTCACATGCCAAGAAATATGGAAAACAGTTACTGGCCAATCAATTGGAAGATATCCATACCTGTACCTACTCAAAGAAAGGTGACACAACAGAACACGGAAATCATCAAACAATATCATTAATATCATATATAAGTAAAATTTTACGGAAGATAATTCAAAACGGATTGCAGCAGAGAACTGCCGAAAAGTCAAGCCAG